TCCCTCCCAGGGTGGTCATGAGAATCAAGTAGCAGCCTGATATAATCTAGTGCTTTGTCAACAAAAGGGTAATGACACACATAAGGCATTTTTTGGATAAGGCTTAAACTTCTAAAAGAAGCAAACTAGTACAACTGTAAAAGGATTAGTGGTTTTTCCACAATCAATTAGGTGCATAAAATCAGTCTCTTCTGAGCACAGTCCCACTAGAATCTGAGGTAAAAGACTATGTATCACGCTCAGAGATACAACCCTAAAACCTAGCCTAGGGTCTTGCATATTTCCAAATAAACGCATAAGAATTAGTGATTGTAAAAATTCTTTCCTTACCAAACTCTCCCATCAAATTGATGGACAGAGGCCCTCTTGCTAATGGGCCAGCCTTCTAGACGCCAAGCAAAGAGTGACCCTCCCCTGAAATCTTAGTCTCGCCTCAACAATCCTTAGAGCATTATAATATCTTACTCATATCTCCTTGACATTTCCAAGGTTACCCAGAGTGCTTATTCTTTGATCCTTAAGAAAACTGTGAACTTGAACACAGTCAAATGTCATCTAATTCAGACCTCCGCTTCCTGCATCAGCATGACCTCAGGCTGGTTACATTTACAGCCTTAGATAAGAAGCATTACCATCATAATATGGTCATTCAATAAGTTCTTCAGAGGGAACTCAAGGCCCAACAAGGAAAAAATATTTCTGGGTGGGTGATGCTCCATTCTTTACCCACTCCAGGAGTGGCAGCAGGGTCCTTTGGCCTAGGAATAAGACACAGGGCTGGAATCCCTCTGGTCTAGAGAGCCGCCCCCAGCTTATCTCTAGGCTCCATTTCCTCTTTCATAAAATGCAGAAACCATCCTGTTCCAAGCCTACTTCACAGGCTTGAAGTGAGGGGCAAGTGGCATGCTGGGAGTTCTTTCTGTAACGTATACTTGCAATACAAATTAAAGGCAAGAGGGGTATGAGATGGTGTCCATTATGACCCAGTCTGAGGTACTGTTCATTCTGGCAAGTCCAAGGTCAGACTCCTGCTCTATGGCTAGGAGCCATCCTCTGGAGGGATTGGGGTGAGGCCTTCTGACCTTATCCCACTTAAGTTGTACCCTAGACACCATCTAGCTTTATTCAGCTCCTCCCAGCTCTTCCATTCTGTCAAGAGAGGAGAGGAAGTCAGAAACAGAGGGGAAAAAAAAGAGTTGCAAAAGGAAGGTTCTGCCAAGGCAATACCATGGTTACAATTACCCCTGTCATTTTCCAACTTTCTAGGCATTAAAATTCTTAGCTTTGCAATCATACTATTAGAGCTTGCATTAACTTTTTCTGTAGTTTTCTTAAACTTCACTCAAAATAACCCCTGAGAATCTCAATAACTTTGTCCTGTAAAATTCTGAAATGCTACTCTACTCCAGGGATATGCTCCACAGGCCAAATTTGGGTATTTTGGTAAATAATGTTTTACAGGAATGCAGCCACTCAGATTTGTTTCTATGTTGTATATGGCTATCTCACACAACAAAAGCAGAGTTTTGTAGCAGTAACTAAGACAACATTGCCCATGAAGCTTAAAATACTACCCAGCCCTTAACAGACCAAATATACCAAACCATGTTCTTGCTCTACCTGCCTCAAAATACAACAGAAAAGAGTATAGTCCAAGCTTGTTAAATAAACTCATTTTTCTTCAAAACTGGCAGGATTTCACTTTAAAAAAAATTTTTTTAATGTCTTATTTATTTTTGAGAGCACGTGAAAGAGGGAGACAAAGGATCCAACATGGCTCTGCGCTGACAGCAATGAGCCCTATGTGGGGCTTGAACCCATGAACTGCAAGATCATGACCTGAGCCTAAGTCAGATGCGCAACCAACTGAGCCACCTAGTTGGCCCACAAGATTTCACTCTTTAAACAGAAATACTAACAAATCACACATTTACAAAATGAGCATTTTGTATGTTGAGCAAGCCAAAAAGATAAAAGTATTTTCAGATTTATCATCAGTGGGAAATCTATAAATTCATATTCATTCACATCCATAAATCTACTATGCTGAGCTAATTTTACAGACTTTTCAAAAAAAACACATCAGCCTAAAGCTGAATTCACAAACACTGGGTCTTAAAGCAATTTTCTTTAGACTTACGTTGAAAAGTAGGGCCTAAACAATCCTCTTTTAAAGTGTATCGTACTATTTTATGAGAAATTTTATTGTCCAGAGCGCTTGGGTGGCTCAGTTGGGTAAGCATTTGACTTCAGCTCAAGTCATGATCTCACAGTTCATGAGTTTGAGCCCCACATCAGAAGGCTCTGTGCTGACAGCTCAGAGCCTGGAGCCTGTTTCATATCCTGTGTCTCCCTCTCTCTCTGCCCCTCCCCTGTTCATGCTCCATCTCTCTCTCTCTCAAAAGTAAACAAAAAAAATTTTTATTGTCCCTTTTGAGCTATTCAGTTTTATATTTAACTGGACAGCATGACAATATTCAAAACAACTTTATAAATAACAGATGAATATATTATTTAAAAATACCTAGTTTTTCCAGATGCATGGGATTTCACAAAGTATAAATATGTAAATATTTCACTATAAAATACTATAAATTGTTTTTTGGATGTGCTTTGGCAGTCTAATAAATAATAATTGTTCTCTTAGGGTTATATAACATTTTAGTATTTGTTACGTGAGTTTTTTGGGAGAGGGATAGACAGATCACCTTCCTTTTCTTCAGATTGTTAGGTTCTCATATATAAGAAATGATTAGATTTTATACTTACAACAAACAAAAATACCCCAGCATGATTTTTATTTTTAGAAAAAAGGAAGACATGAGAAGGAAATTGTCATTTTGCATCACAGATATATTTGTAAAAGATACTCATATTGCTAAGTAATTGTTATTTTGTTATGCTATATAAATCTACTCTTCAAATTTATATGTATATATGCATATACATACATATTATAAATGTTAATATACATGTGCGCATGTTTAATTAGTTTTAGGAGTGTAACACTGATAGTGCTCTCCTTTTATTAGCTTATTGCTTTGAATTTTATTTTTTTGAAAATTATGGAAATATCTGAATCTAAACTTAAATATTTCTAGAATCCCACTTCATGTTGTATCTATGTGTATGTTTTTTTTGTTTTTTTTCTAATGTTTATTTATTTCAGGGAGAGAGAGAGAGAGAAAGAGCACTAGCAGGGGAAGGGCAGAGAAAGAGACACAAAATCCAAAGCAGGCTCCAGGCTCTAAGCTGTCAGCACAGAGCCAGATATGGGGCTCAAACTTACAAACCACAAGATCATGACCTGAGCCAAAGTAAGACAGTTAACCAACTGAACCACCCAGGCACTCTAAGTGTATGTTTTTTTGGGTTTTTTTTTAATGTTTTATTTATTTCTGAGAGACAGAGAGATAGCATGAGCAGGGGAGGGTCAGAGAGAGAGGGAGACACAGAATCTGAAGCAGGCTCCAGGCTCTGAGCTAGCTGTCAGCACAGAGTCCGACATGGTGCTCAAACCCACGAACTGTGAGATCATGACCTGAGCCCAAGTCGGACGCTTAACCGACTGAGCCACCCAGGTGCCCCATGTTATTTTAATATAAAATGATTAACTCCCCCAAAAAAGTGTATCCTACTATTAATACTAAAAAAGTAAATTCCTGCAACAATGCAATTTCTGACCATGTTTACAGAAACATAGGAGTTTTTTTACTGCTAGTTTAAATATACAACACTAAGCTAAATATATCTAACTATATGAAGATTCACTCAAAAAGCAAAATCAAATATCCAATTTATGTTTTTAAAAGAAAATGAGGTTACTCACTGAGGTAAGGGGTGAGGCTCCTTTATTTCCCAGCCCTTGACACCCCTTCAGGTGGTAGATTAGTTTTTTAGAGTCTGAATATGGTGGGAAAAAATCTGCACATGGGAAGGGTAACAAGAGCTCATCCACCTTCCTTTCTCAGATGTTAGTGTTTTCTCCTTTGATGAAATAAGCTGTTCTGAAGTAGGGACAAGAATAAGGACTTTGAGACATGGTGCCAAAAGGAACAACCAAACAAAAAAGAATAGGAAGAAAAAAAAAGAAGTAAGCTACTCATAACATGTAGGCTATTAAAATTCTCCCTAAAATATAACCCTAAACATTATACCTGTGAGGGTAGGTCCCTCAATTGCTGCCACACTCCCTTCAACAAAAATTAATCCATTCAGGATCAAGAAGATGTGGTCTATACATACAATGGAATACTACTTGCCAATGAGAAAGAATGAAATCCTGCCATTTGCAGCAATGTGGCTGGAACTGGAGGGTATTACGCTAAATGAAATAAGTCCATCAGAGAAAGACAGATATATGTTTCACTCATATGTAGAACTTGAGAAACTTAACAGAAGACCATGGGGGGAGGGAAGGGGGAAAAATAGTTAAACACAGAGAGGGAGGGAGGCAAACCATAAGAAGACTTAAATACAGAGAACAAACTAATGGTTGATGGAAGTGGGGGAGAGGGAAAAGTGGGTAATAGGCATTAAGGAGAGAATTTGTTGGGATGAGCACTGGGTGTTGTATGTAAGCGATGAATCACAGGAACCTACCCCCAAAACCAAGAGCATACTGTATACACTGTATGTTAGCCAATTTGACAATAAATTATATTAAAAAAATAAAATAAATCACTGTATTATATACCGTAAACTAACTTAACGTTGTATGTTAACTATACTTGAATTAAAATTTTTAAAAACTTAGTAAAAAAAATCAAATCCAAAAAAAATTAATCCATTCATTCTAAGTTTTTTAAAGGAAAAATATGAATATCTGCTTGTCATCTTTTCAAATCAGTTGTCATATGTCCTATCAGCAAGGTTCTGAACAAAAAAATAACAAACTGTCCCAGACTGTCCTTCAGAGGGACCGAGGCACTCCCGGGGAGCCAGTCGTAATGTGTGCGCCGTCCAGCCTAGAAACTTGCCATAAGCCCAAAGATACAAACCTCCCGTCGACTGACATTTGCGGTTCTCTCCAAGTGATCAGTTTTCCTTTTGGATTTCATTATGCTTTAATAGAAAGTAAAATTAGATTATTAAGTATTATCTTCAAAAAAATAATTAAATTAGTTTCCCCTGTAAGATCATGACTATCCAAAATGCAATGTCACATCATGGATCCTAGAAAGTGGTCAATGTAAATCTGCACGTCTAACTAAAGCTTCACAGTCTACTAAAGGCATGCATAGTTAAACATGATGTTCTGATATGCCTTCAGGTGTCCCACGGCCATCCACAAGCAGGTCTTTGAACCATATCAAATGAAACTAGGGGCCGAAACTCACCTCGTTAGAGTAAGGTGGCGCAAAGCACTGGATGTCAACCTCCGCCGTGAAGCAGCCTGAGTGCAGACGGTACCAAGAGAGCTTCGCAACAAGCCATGAATCATAACAGCAGCACATGCCATGGTGCTTCCTGGGTGCACAGGAAAGTTACAATATTTTAAGAAAAAGTAGGGAAATATCAGACTATTTTAGGGGCCAGTGAAGAAAAGTTTGGATTTGTGTTGGTTCTGTTATGCGCTGATCTAACAAAACAGCAAAGCTATTAAAGGCCTAACTCTTCTCTGACATAGATTCTGCCACTATTTAGAGCTGATTCAACTGATTTCCACAGTACGGACATTACGTAATTAGTGGTGTCATCAAATATTCATGCTATTAGTTTCCACAATCACTAACCAAGCTCACGTGACTAATCTTATGCTATTATGGGAGACTAGATTTTATAACTGTCCAATAATTCTATCCCACCCAAAGAGCATATTAGTCTTTAACATTTCTTGCTATATAAAGTACAAGGAGCAACTTTTCTGAGGTTCACAGCGATGAAAAAAACCAATCACACCTACATGCGGTAACACAGATGAGTATCATTAATATCATGCTGAACGAAAAGAATGGAAACCAGACTCCAAAAAGCATATATTCTGTGAGTCCAGTCATATAAAGCACAAAAACAAACTAAATTAATCTTATCAAGTCAGAAATCAAGGTAGCAGTTATCCTTGGGGAGGTAATAATCACTATGCTGCTTCTTAATCTGAATGCTGACTGCACGGGTATTTTCATTTTGTAAAAAGTCATCATCAAACCACAGAAGATTTCTAGGGTATTAAAGATACTCTGCAGGATACCATAGTGAGAGTGACAGATACATTTGTCTAAATCCACAGAACACACAATACCGCGAGTGAGCTGTAAACTACAGCCTCTTGGGGAGGGGGTTCATCAACTGTAACAAATGTACTGCTCTGGTGGGGGATACTGATGACGGGGAAAGCTATCCATGTGTGAAAGGAGGGAGTACACTGGACATGTCTTTACTGACCCCTCAATTTTACTGCAAACTTAGAACTGCTCTAAGAAAAAAAGAAAATAAAAGAAAAAAGCCTTAAAAATTAATCTATCTTCCTAGAATTTAAGTACTTCTGTCTGTAAATTTCAACAAAACATAAAAAACAGAAAGATTATCCAACACTGCAATTAAAAAACCTATAGGCTTATCAAAAAACAGCACTGATCATGAGTCAGATGATCTATTTTTTTTTGGTTCTGTTATCCTCTGCCAATTTCTGAATATTTCTTTGCCTCAGATGGTCTCTTTTAACATGTTATACTGCCATAAATATCTGTCCTATGTTAGAGAATATATGAAAATGTATGTAAATGATTTGAGCTCTTTGAAAGGTATTATATAAATAATTGTAATCAATTTAGTGTTAGGAAAATTCAAGCTACGTGTGTTTATATTCCTACTCCATATTTGTTAATTTAGTACTTCATCTGACAAATACTTATTAAGAGTCCATTATGTGGCAGGCACTGGGGATATAGACATACACAAAACAAAGACTTCTTAGCTTACATTTTAGAAAATGGAGACAGAAAACAAATAACAGTAAATAATGAAGGGATGGTATGTCAGTTATAACCAATCATATCAAAAAGCACTTCTAACTAGTCTTTTAAAAAAATAAAAAATCTACTTCCTGCCACAGTACATCGTAGCATCACTGTGGATATGAAGAGGCTACTCACCATTGTTCTCCCTAGTAAACGAAAGAATAAGGTCTTTCATCTCATGTAAGACTACTAAATGTAGCTTCTCTCCTTTGAATGTGCTAAACCTAAAATGGTGCATTCATTGTTGAAAGAAAGAAGGCGAAACTTACTTTAGAAGTCCATGAGATTTTAGAAGTCATTAAATATGTGGCTGGCTGACTGACTGACATGCAATACTTTGGTCCTGGAATTATACGGGGACCTTTGGATATACACCAGTTGGAACAAGGGCGGTGTTTCCATATACTGAAATTCTCACAAAGCTCCTGCAATGGCAGAGACAACATGTAAGAACCAAGTTCTGGGAAACTGTTAAAGGGCACTCCTAGCTGCAAAAGGGAAGGCTCATTATAATCAGCAAGCATCTCCTCACAGCGAGTCTGCACTCAACTACCTCCTATCCATCAATTCTTCCTCCTTGGGTTTCCACCTTTCTCTTCTGATTGTTTCTCTTATTGCTATTGCTTCCTTTTTTCAGCTTCCTTGGCATGCTTTAACTCTTGCTACCTAGGATATCCACCCCATGAAAGTTCAGATCAATGGTTGGAATGATACAGTTATATGTTACTTAAGGTCAAGTCCCCTGATAAAACTTAACTGATATATAGTTAATGTGGTAACACTGTCTTGGCTCAATGTTTTAGACAACTGTTGCTAAAACAGATTGTCTTCAATTAAGATATGCCTTTTGGTGGTTATGCTATTTAAAGGGTCTACTGCCCAACTGAACTTGAAAATAAAGAAATGGGGTCACTCGGATGGCTCAGTCAGTTAAGGGTCCGACTCTGGATTTCAGCTCAGGTCATGGTCTTGGGGTTCGTGAGATCAAGCCCAGCATCAGGTTCCAGGCTGCTAGTGCAGAGCCTGCTTGGGATTCTCTCTCTCTCTGTCTGCCCCTCCTCCACTTGCGCTCCCAAAATAAATAAACTTAAAAAAAAAAAGAAAAGAAAGAAATGTTAATTTTTAAAAGCTGTTCTCTCTAAAATCTTATTTTTTTTAATGCTAGTAACCATGACCAAGAGTGCCATCTACTGACATATAAAGGGTATTTTTATCAAACTGTTGAAAGGGCATCCAAAAGCAATAAGGTAGTGAAAATAAAAACCAAAACCTACCCATTTTTTAACATACATCCAATGGTTTCATATATTCAATATAAGTATTTAATTACCTCTTAAAAATTAACATAGATTAAGGATTTTCTAAAATGACACAAAAAAGAGTACCTCATCAATGTTTCTATTCTCACAGGCCTTATTACCTCAACCAAAAAATTCTTAAATTAACTCTATTTCAGAAACAGAAAATCATAAATGCCAATTAAAACATAACCACTTATGCAGTAAAAAAAAATTACTGCAGGCAACAGATTAAACTTGATTTGAAATGAACTATACTGGTTTCTGTTCAGTAAGTACACTCTATTTAAGAATTGCTGGGGTGCCGGACACTATTCTAGGCCATGGAGGCACAGTAAAGAACAAGACACAGGGTGCTTGGGTGGCTCAGTCAGTTAAGCATCGGACTTCAGCTCAGGTCATGATCTTGTCTGTGGTTCTTCAGTTCGAACTCCACATCGGGCTCTCTGCTGTTAGCACAGAGCCCGCTTGGGATCCTCCGTCCTCCTTTCTCTGTACTCCTCCTTCACTCATTTCCCCCTCTCAAAATAAATAAGTAAACTTTAAAAAAAAAAAAAAAGAACCAGACACAAAGCTCTTCTCATCATGAAGTTTCATAACAGTGTGTCCAATCAATAATAAACAACAGATAATTAATGAGACAAATAGAGATTACAATGAGTATGATAAAGGAAGTGAATGGGGGAATATCAAGAAAGGTCTCTCTCAAGAGACGTGTGATGAGGAAGAGACAGTAAGGGCAGAGCCATCAGGCAGAAGCCCAAGCACAGAAACAAGCCTACTATGTTACAGGAACCACAGCCAGTTGGACTGGAGAGCAGGGAGCTAGGTGACAGTGACAAGAGAGGAAGTCCAGCAGGTAGACCTTTGCCAAATGACATCAGACCATGGAAAGAGTGTGGCCTTTATTCTAAGGACCATGGGAAGCAACTGAAAGCTTTGAATAGACCAGGAAAAGGTTTACATTAAAGGATCTAATTTACATTGATGGAATGACCGAATTTACATTTAAAGGACACCTCAGTCTACTATGTAAAGAATGGATCACAGAAGGGCAAGAGTCTCCAGTTATAAGGCTACAGTGTAAGATGAGAGCAAGATAAAGCTAAGAGATGGCAGAAGCAGATAAACAAGGAGCATATTTTGGAATTAGAGCCCTACGACTTGCTAACAGATTGGATGAGGTGTGACAGTAGTTAAAAAAAGATTGAGAGAGAGAGAAACCAAGAACACCTCAAAGAGCATTCATACACTGACATAAATTCACAGAACTATCCCGGCACCTGTTGATTCAGACTCCTAAGTGTCACTGAGGAAGCAAAGGGGCTTCCAGCATTTGGCAAGGGAACTCTAGTGGTACATAAGTTATGAGAATGCTTGACCTAAAATCAGTGGACCTGGGTTCAGGTCTGACTCCTTTGTACTTTTTCATCTAGGGCCAGTCACATCTTAACATTTTTAAATTCCAATGCCAATAGCACTTCACTGGATTGCTGAAAGGAACAAATGTCTATGCAAGTATCTGGCAAGCAAGAACCTTCCTAAAAATCAACTCAATTCCATTAACCCCTACCCTCTATTCCCTGCCAAAATACCTGGAGAGGTTATGGGTTTGATGCCTGCCAATAAACTCACCTCAAGCGCAACACAGTTTCTATTCGGAATTATAAACTAGTTCTAAATTCAATCACATGCTAAGAATTTTGGTCAATATTATTTTCCAGATCAGCAGTGTTAACATTTTGTGATTTAAAAAAAATGTTTTTAACTTTAAGTTTGTGATTGCAAATGATCCTATAGCTCCTAGTAAGTCTGCTTTTATCACACTCTGGAGGTCCCAAAACAGGTGTCCTTACAGAACATGTCCACTCCCTTTTAGGAATAAAAGTTTGGTAGTCACTGTAATGTTTAATTGAAAAATGCTGGGTAGGGTAAAACAAAACAACTGCATTACAAGTTTGGTTATGGTTTCACTTTCTCCAGCACAGTATGAACTCAGAATTGGGCAGAAGCATACAGGGAACCACTGCTGGCCAGACAAGGCATATGCCCAAGGGCTGGCCGGATGAAAACAGTATGAAAAGCCAAGGAGACTCCCAAATCTAGGCCTCAAGGGAACAGCACTGGTCTAGCAGAAAATCTCAGCAGTCTGAGCTCCAAGCCTGTAGTTTCATCTAGGTCTGCTTCAACGCCATCCTATCACAGATGCCATCCAAGTTAACGAAGAGCCTAGGCCGTGGCGTCCGACAGACCTGAGTTCTCACCACAATTTAACGCCACTTACCAGCCGTGCTTCTTTTTTTTTTTCTTTCTAGGAGAGAGAGAGAGAGACAGCGTGAGCAGGGGAGGGTCAGAGAGAGAGGGAGTCACAGACTGAAACAGGCTCCAGGCTCTGAGCTGGCGTCAGCACGGAGCCTGACGCGGGGTCCGAACCCACAACCGCGAGATCATGACCTAAGTGAAAGTTGGACGCTTAACCGACTAAGCCACCTAGGCGCCCCTTACCAGCTTTGCTTCTTAGGCAAGCTCTTTATTTATTTATTTTTTAAATGTTTTTTGTTTGTTTGTTTGTTTTTTATTTCTAGGAGAGAGAGAGAGACAGCATGAGCAGGGGAGGGTCAGAGAGAGAGGGAGTGACAGACTCTGAAACAGGCTCCAGGCTCTGAGCTGGCAGTCAGCACAGAGCTCGACGCGGGGCTCGAACCCACGAACCACGAGATCATGACCTAAGCGAAAGTCAGACGCTTAGCCAACTAAGCCACCCAGGCGCCCCTTAGGCAAGCTCTTTAGCCCTTAACCAAGTTTCCCAATGTTGACAATGCGATTAATGACACCTACACCTCACTGGGCTGCTTTAATGACCTCAAACATACAAACCATCTGATATCGCGCCTGACACAGAGTGTTCATTACTATTAATAAGTAGTTCGCTAGTTTTTCTCCTTCATTTTAGGTAATACATACTTAAAAAGAGTTGGAAAGTTACAAACAAATTATATATTTAAAAAAAAAACTACCCAACAACTCCTGTAACTGCTAGGGCTATTAACCTCAGATTTTAAAATTCCCCAGCAAATTGATTTTGCTGGGTCCAAACTGCTTTCTAAATGGCCTACCAGTTTAGACTTCCAAGAACCAAATATGAATGCACTCATTTCTGCACATTCAAAAATGGCTCACATCTTTAATTTGTAGATACTTATGCTGAGAGAAACTGAAGAACTAAAGATGGTTCCCAACCTCAAAATGATCACTGGGACAACTGAACACAGACCCGGGAAGACCGCCCCTTCTCCTTCTGTCTCTGAGACACTACCTGGGAAGTATCTGTGTCCACAGAGATGCAGGGAGCAGCCACGGAGCTGGGTGGGCTTTGCTGGGATTTCTCCTTCGCCCACTCAGTCACGCCAGAATCATCCCACTAAATTTAACAAGTGTTTCCTCACTGCTGGGTAGGTCTCCAATTATGCAAATGTGAGGCCTTGGAGATGACCTTCTACCAACTTCTTTAATGTAACCTCTTGATTTTCTTCCAAAGACGCCTCTGCCTTTAAGCTGTCAAGCCTTAAAAGAGCTAAACCAGGTGGAGCTTCGCCTCAGTGTGCACAAAATTGGTAACTTCATGCAAACTTTTGAATACGTGTACACAAACAAGCATAGGCATATGTGTGGATGTAGGTGTTACCCACACACCATGTAAATATAAACGAAATATGGTTTATACAATTGCTAACCAAGTAAAACGGGTAATTTCCTTGCAAAAGTGGAATGTTAGATCTGAACGTGATCTCGTAAATCATCTCTAATCCAATCCTTTTTTAGTCAGAAGAGAAAATAAGCCTCAAAGGATGTAAATATCCAGCTCCCAGAGCAAGTTCCCCAGAGTGAGATTCTGACCCCAGATCTATTTCTCAAAGAGCCTTTTTCAAAATGCACTGCATTCCTAAATTTGAGTAAATGTGTAGTGATGGAGCGATACCACCTACGCCCCCCACCCACCTTGGAATCTCGTTGCAGTACAACAGGCACTAGTACTGCCTTCAAGACAAAGCACCTTCGATTTGCATTTCACTTCAAAAAGTATACAGAGGACTCAGGATAATAACTCTGTCGGCAGACACCATTCCTTTTACAAAAAGGAAACCTGGTTCAAATAAATTAAGTACTCTGTTCGGAAGCTTTACGGACAGACTGGGTCTTCATTTGTAGTCGGGTGGTTTTGGCCAAGACACCTTATCTTAGTTTGAACATCTAAACTAGAGTAACAGGGTTGATATAAGAAGCATACTTAGAGCAATACCCGGTATATAGCAAACCCCCAGTAATAAAAGGTGATGTTTACTATTATTACAAATCATTGTCATTAATAATGATATATGCTTGCAAACACAGGACTAGAACTCCACCTGCCTTCCCAGTCTTGGTCCTCTCAACAATACAATTTAGGGCATTTGAAGATAATCTGGGATAAAGAAGAGAGTCGGGGATGTACCTGAATAGCCCAGTGCAGCCAAGAACTACAAATTAGGCGTCTCCCTGAGCTCAAGGTCACTCGGTGAATCAAAATTCCAAGTGAACTTTTCGTCCGTCATCGGCGAGGCAGGAAGGTGGAGGCAGAAAGGGAGGTCCGGGGAGGCGGAGGTGCTCCAGCCGCCGCCTGAGGCCTAGCAGACGAGCGCCCTCCTCTCCCCAAGAGCGTTGAAGGCCGGGGGGATGCCACCGATTCCGCAGACTAAGGTCCAAGCCTCTCTAAACCCGGAGGACTTGAGCTAGCACGACAGCCGCAGGGAAGGGCCTCCACGCCTCCGGCGCGCCGCGGAGACCTAGCTCGAAGGCCCACCAGAGCTCCGCCAACCGCGCGCGAGAGCTTCCGGTGTCCCCGACGGTACGTCAGAGGAGCGTGAGAGATCCCCGCAAGTTATTGGTCGCCGCCTCCGACAGTCGGATCGGTGAGCCCACCTCTAGCAGTGAACGCCGTCGTCCAGTGTCTCCGCCCCCTAGTTCAGCCCATCTCCATGGTGACCGCTACCCGGTCACCCATTTGGCCTTAAATGCCGGCGTTGCGTCATTGTGTATGCGCCGGAAGTGATAATTCCTGAGCCGGCGCGCGGTGACCCGCCCCGGCTGGGGCGCGCGCGAGGGAAATCAGACTGTCCCGGAGTAGTGTTGGCTGGCGGGGGCGATATATACCTGCCTACCGCAGTGACAATGGCTGTGTTTCACGACGAGGTGGAGATCGAGGACTTCCAATATGATGAAGACTCGGAGACCTATTTCTACCCCTGCCCCTGTGGGGATAACTTCTGCATTACCAAGGTAACTTCAGGGCCCCTCCCGGCGACTCGTCGGAGCCGGCGCGATTTCGCTCTTGCCGCCTTCCTTCCGCCGTTCCGTCACCGTGCGGCTCACGCTTATCCACGCCCTTTTTGTCCTGTCTCTGAGTCGCCGTAAAGTTGATACTCTGATCTGTCAGTGGGCACATCGTTCTGGCCTTTAGTCAGACCGACGGCTGGAAGATGTGGGTGGGAAAGACTGGATGGCGGGGAGCTTCGATCTTGCCATCCTCCTACATTGAGGGTCCCACTTCAAGTCTTCCTAGGGGTTTGGGGGCGACTGAACCTCGGCTAACCTTCCCGGGTTATTTTCAAGTAGCGCTTTGCGGGAGAAAAAGTTGATATTTCTCTCGGCAGGCCTTTTTGGCCTTCTCATACCTTGTGGGGAGACGAGCCACAACGGAACTTGTAAGGTTGGAAAGAGTTTGGGAGGAGATCGCAACGGGAAGACAATGCCATACGGTGTTTGATTTTGTTATAGGAAGATTTGGAGAATGGGGAAGACGTGGCAACGTGTCCTAGCTGCTCTCTGATTATAAAAGTAATTTATGACAAGGTAAGTAGCCGAATTTTAAGAGGTGTGGGGAGGGGAGTAGTGGTTGGGAGGCAAGGACCTAAAGCAGTCTGTGCTAGTAAGTGCAGGTAACTCATTTTAACTTTGGAGAAGGCAGTAAAGAAAACCGCATAGCTAATGAAAATTATTGATTACACCTTAAATAGAAAATCATAAAGATTGACAGCCTGTATTCCTCCTTTATTTGCTAAGTAATTAAAATTGTTGAGAGCTCCTAGACTTATCTTGGAGGGAACAATTGTATAGTGTTTCTTACCTGGTTTATATATATAGGACTCTGCATTGTCATGTCATAGCGGCAGTTTTACAGATGCATTTTGGTCTTTAATTGTCTTTTTGTTTTTCACTCAAGGATATTGACAATAGAAAATAAATGTTCTTATTACCCACCCCTACCCCAGCTTTTGGTCTATACTTTGAATGGACTCTTAAGAAGCTTGACATTGCTTCATTTCTCTTTTTTTCTTTTTAGCGGGGGTGGGGCTGTGGGGGAGATATAATTGACATATAACAGCTTAACATTCTTAAGAATAAGCTCTAAAATAAGTATCACGAAGGTAAAGACAAGGCATTTAGTCTTATGAGAGAAGCAGCCTATAATCTGGAAGCTTACAGATTTATTCCTGTATTAAAATGTGTTCTGGAACAAAAAGAGAACAGAGTAAGGGAGAGTAGGAGGGCTTGTATGAGAGGAGGTTGCAATTTTAAACAGGGTGGTCAGGGCAGGCTTTCCCAAGAGAGGTCTTATTCAGCAAAGCTTTAAAGAGGTGAGGGAGTGAGCCCTGGGGGATAAAAACAGTTCCATAAGGGGAGCTTTCAGTAGACAGGCCCTAAGGCAGGAACAGGTCTGTTTTTATTGAGGAACAGCAAGTGTGACCAGAGCAGAGTGGATGAGGGTGAGAGAGAGTAGCCCAGGATGAAGTCAGTGGAGTGAGGCAGATCACAGAGGTGTTTATGCGCCACTTTAAGGACTTTTGCTGTTGCTGTGAATGACACAGGACCACTGGAGGATTCTGCTGTGATCCAACTGAAGTTAAAATGGAGTCACTCTGGCTGCTGGGTTCAGAGTAGACTGGGAGGCAGCAAGGATAGGAGTTAGGATATGGCAAGGGGAACAGTTAGGAGGCTGGTAGGCGAACCAGAGGAGGAGATGGATGGCTTGGAGCAGGCTGCAGCGAAGGAGATCGTGAAAGGTGGTTGGATTCTGGATACACTTTAAAGGATAACTTTTTTTTTTTTTTTACTGGTTGGATATAGGATACGAGAAGAATCAAAGATGATTTCCACATTTGTGGCCTTCGTGACTAGAAGGTTGGATTTACCACCAACTGATGGGGAGGTGTCTGCAGGTATAGGGGCAAGAGTTGGATGTACTAAGTTTAGGAGGCCTACTTTTGATCCACGTGGAGAGCAAGTGAAAGTGCAATTTGATGTGCAGGTCTGAGTTCAAAGAGGGAGACAAATCAGCTGGTGCTGTAAATTTAGGAGTTATCAGCACACAGCATTTAGAGCCATGAGATTGGGTGAGATGACCAGAGCTGTGAATACAGATAAAGACGGACAAAAGAAAGGACCCCTCCCAACATTAAAAGGTCAGAAAGGGAAGCAGTGAATCAGCAGAGCTACCTGAAAAGGAAGGAGGAGGAAAACCACCAGTGTCCTATCCTGGAAGCCCAATGAGAACAGGTGTAGGAAGTGAACTCCCTTGTCAGGTGCGACCCAGAGAGAACTAAAAATCAACCATCGGCTTTAGCAGAGAGACCATTTGTGATGGTGGTGAGAGCAGTTTTGATGGAGTAATGGAGACAGAGCCTGAATGGTGGAAAATTTATTGGAGAGAATAAGAAGAGAATAGGAAACTGCAAGAGGAAAACTTTCTTTCAAGGATCTGCCGCAAAGGGGAGCAGAGACATGGGGCACTAACTGGTGGTGATAGAGGATCAGGAGAGGGTTTAAGGTGATAGACATTCAGCTGCATTGGTGAATGTAGACACAAGAAGTTAGATTTAACCAGGGTTGTGGTTTTGTCAAATAGGTAGGAAGGAGTGAGAGAAGAGGAATTGTGATAATTGACCGTGGACTTGGAAGCAGGTCCAGAAAACACAGAAAGGAACAGAGATGATACATCTTATGACATAAGAGTCAAGGTTGGTGGGTGTTAGAGAGGGAAGGAGAGCAGTGGCAGAAAGGAGCAACCAGTCCATCCAGTCTTGGTGGTACCGGCGCTCTGAGGGAACACAGCATCGCCACTTGAGAGGCTATAGGGGAAATGGTATCCTTAAGGGGTGGCCTAGTCTCGAACCCAGCATTATGGTCATTTGGAGCCAAATAACTCTTTGCTGTACAGAGCTGCAGGGTGTTCAGTAGCATCCCTGGCCTCTACTCATTTGATGCCAGGAGTACCTTCCCCGAATGTCTCCAGGTACTGCCAAATGTCCCCTGAAGACAGAATCGGCACGCCCTTCCTCCCACCTCTTGAGAACCACTATATTAGAGGGGGAAGGTGCAGGAATGTTTTAAAGAAGGGGGTGAGACTGGAGCAGTGTGCTGGTGATGGACCATACATTTCCAAGAGCCGGCTGGGGTCAGAGAGGAGGCTCCAGGTGCTGGGCAGGAGTGAGAGAGCGATGACACGATCCAGGCTGACCCTTCTGGGGACGAGAGTAGGAGATAAGGGGTACCTGGAAGGCAGAGGTTTCTTGTAGCTGACGTAAGCCAGGAGAACTCATCAGAGACTGAACTGCATTTACAGCATAGCTGACGCTGCGGATTATCTGTGTGGGCAAACACATAAAGAGCTATCCCTTTTAGTTAGGAGAAGTAATTACCGGGGACACCTGGGTGGCTCAGTCACTTGAGTTTCTGACTTTGGCTTAGGTCATGATCTCACGGTTCAAGCCCTGATTTGGGCTCTGCGCTGAAGGCTCAAAGCCTGGAGACTACTTTGGATTCTGTGTCTCCCTTTCTCTCTTTGCCCCTCCCCTACTTGTGCGTGCGCTCTCGCTCGCTCGCTCTCTCTCTCTCTTAAAAATTAAGACTTTAAAAAAAAAAAAAGAAGTAATTGCCTTCAAGAGGCTGGGTATATGAATGACCAAATATTGAAACTGGGAAGTTATAGTATAGTAGTTAATCAGAAACTTAAAAGGCGTGACATTTTTATAAATGTGATTTCAGACAGGTGGATGCTCTGTGGTGAAGGTGGGCATGGTTGTTTATAAGATAAGGTGCTTTGAATTAAATGTGAGTTCAGGACTAAAAACTGAAGCACCTTTAAGATTTTATTTGTGGTGCTGGGGCGCCTGGGTGGCTTAGTCGGTTAAGCATCCGACTTTCGCTTAGGTCATGATCTCGCAGTTTGTGGGTTCGAGCCCCACATCAGGCTCTGTGCTCACTGCCAGCTCAGAGCCTGGGGCCTATTTCAGAGTCTGTATCTCCCTCTCTCTCTTTGACCCTCCCCTGCTCATGCTGTCTCTCTCTCTCTCCTAGAAATAAATAAAAATATTAAAAAAAAAAAAAAAGATTTCATTTGTGGTGCTGACATTGACTCTTTGAAAAAGAATGGAAAAACTGATGGCTGGATTGATTCTGCAACAAAACAAAGTCTGATATTGAGGCATCTGTGACATGCTCGATGATTAATATAATTTCTTGTTCTGTCTTAGGATCAGTTTATGTGTGGAGAAACAGTCCCAGCCCCTTCCACTCACAAAGAATTAGTTAAATGCTGAAGAAGCCTTTAGGAATCCAAATACTGAACATTTGGGAATGAACCAGGCTGGAAATCAAATGCAAAATTACTGGCTTCTTCCCGAGGGCAACCATTCTGCAGCTGGCTCTTCCATGAGAGTATGGGCCCTTGCCGCTGGCTCCCAAGTTCACTCCAATTAAAGAAGCAAGTGCACGACACGACATGCCTGGATTTTGTGCTTAGATCTTTGAATTGTACGTGTTCTGAATTTTCCATGTGAATTTTGTGTCTTACACCTGATTTCTTCCTGATCCGATCGCAGCATCATCTACCTCAAAGTCGTTAGGATTCCTTAATAAAAAAGGGGGTTATATTTTTGGCTTAGTTATTAAAGTTATTAAAATTAGCCCTTTCTTTGAAATTGGACATCAGCTTTGCTGTTCTAAACTCAGATCAGCTGCTCTGTCCACATCGCACTTTCAGTTCCCACACCAAGCCAGTCTGAGGTCTTGCACTCACTAGAATGTTCATGTTCTGTGTAGCACACCACTTCCACGATACTTCCTGCATGGAGTTCTAGTCATGGTATTAAAGAGGAAATACACCGAGCTCACCATTTTTCCAGAGCGAAAAGTTAGTGAAAAAAAGTCGAAAAGTGAAATGATCAAAGAATCTGGAGTTTCCTTATCAATCTTCCACACGTTCCTTGAAAATTGGGACAAGACAAAAAGAAAAGCAGCCGAAGGAATGAAATTGGTAGCAGAACGAGAGGAGGATAATCCTGCTAACTTATAAATTAAGCGCTTGAATGGTTTTCCCAGGTCAGAGCAGACAATAACTGTGTGTCTGGGTCTTGTTTGTCTGATTGTTTTCAGGTAAAGCTAATGAAATTGCTTTTGAGATAGGGTTTGTATCAAGGCCTTAGGGCCGGCCGCAGTGCTTTCAGCGTTACCTCAAAATCAACTTGCTGCCCCTAAAAAGTAAAGATTCTCCACTCTTGCGTTTGCTGAAGATGAACTTGAAGAGGAGATGCCGATAAATGAACACGTCCCTGGAGATGCATCTAACAAGTGGTTATAAGCTGTACCTGAACCAGACGTGCACTCTTAAAAGAAGTGTTAAAAGAATTCATAAAGCTAGGCTGGAATTCTTTTAACACTTCCTTTGCTGCAGTGTAGTAGCAAGAAATCAGAATTACTTACACTAAAATTCAGAATTTTCTTTTATATACACAATTTTGCTGTGTGTTTATAGAATTTAAAAACTCACTGATGTCCAGCAGGTTGTTTGGGGAACAGTTCCTGCAATTGGAAAAAAATAGCTTGTCAGAACATGACCGGTCTGTCACTGGTTGATAACTGCACACACTCACCAAGGGCTTAAAACAATTAGGTGGCCTTTGAACACACACACACAAAACACCTTCCAGCAGCACGCTTATGTGCAGCCATTACATTAAATCAAAAACTGTATGCCAGAACTATGTGTTGTACGTGATACGGTGTTGTACAGCATATGCACGGAGTGAGAAGTCCCATTGCTGTTCAGTGACGCTGATGCCCCAGAGGAATCCGCCAGTGAATTGGAGCCAGCGGCAGCTTAGCCGAGAACAAGGTGTGTGCTAACTGCTGGGAATTAACTGCAAAGAGAAACGAACTGTCCCATGCTCAAACTTGATGGTTTTGTAAGTCCCAATATTAACTCCTTCAGCTGATGATGAATTTCAGACAGGAACAGGCACCCCTGATGTAGGTCTACTGCGAACATAGAAGGAATAAATGCCCAAGTCCAAACATCCCAGGAGAAAAAAGCTGCAGTGGAAATCGGTGATCAGTGATAATCTGCGGTGATAGGAGTGATTTTGTTTCCAAAGCCACTGACTTCATAAATTTGTTAACTACAAAAGGACAAGGCTTAGTCCTATGTTAAGCAGAAAGTAAAACCATGGTGTTTCGTGTATAACTAGAGTCCTTTGTGATATCAGGTGCCTTGTGTGTCTCACCCTGCCTTTCAGACCACCTCTGAGAACTGGTGTGTAATCCAGGCTGTCTCTTACTAGCTTTGTAGTCTTTGGCAAGGCCAGCTGATTTTTTACCTCTACAACTAGGAGACTCGATCAGGTGATTTCTGAACTGTCAGTGCTAGAATTTCAGGCTTCACTTGTAGGAGCTGAAATGGTCATTGAAACCTTTATACACTCAAAACTAAATCATGAACTAGTTGAGAAAGAGACTCCATGCTTCTTTAGTGACTTGATGTTACCACACTTCTGAGTTTGAAAATAAACTGTTTAAAGGATTCTGCATATATTTTAGTGTACATATCCAAAGCACTCTTTTGGGAAAGCACCCAGTGGTTCTGATTGCTGTGCATATTAATTTATTATCAGAATACATTTTATTGACATGCTAAATAAAATCACTCAAATTCAAATCTATTTGTTTTCATGTAGCTTTCTTCCCTAAATACCAACATTTTGTATTACAAGGTTTTGATGCCATTTTATATGAGGTAGAAAGCAGTCTAACCTGCTTTGGGAAATTTTAAGTAGGTTTATGGTACGGATGGTAGAGCTTTTAAATGGGAAAGAAATAGCCACTGTTTCTATAGTTTGGCCACAGGGTTTTTGGTTCTGGATAAAGCTATGAATCAACTGGCAGTTAGACAAAGACAGTTGACATTCTCAGGCAAGTAATTAAGTTTTTGATGGGAAAGAAAGCTGATATTTTATTTAAGGCTGTTGATCAACTTTTGCAGTTGTTTGAAGGCCCCGCTCTTGTCAGGACACCATTTGAACCTTAGTTCCTCTACTATAATCTTGGACAAGTTACCGAATCTTTTCGTATCTCTATGTCCTGGTCTGTGAAATGCAGACCATAACACTACCTTTTTCCTGTGGTTCATCTGTGGACTCATTCATTCAGAAAGTATTCGTGGAGTGCCTGCCAGATGTTAGGCACTCGGTAGGGTCTCTGCCACCATGGAGCCTACATGCAGGTGGCAGAGGAGAAATAAGATTACAGACTGTGGTTATGCCCCAGGAGGAAACTAGGTGATGTGACAGCGGCAGCAGGTGTATTGATAAAGGACACACAGAAGATATCTCAGGTGGGGCACTTTTTCTGAGACTTGAAGGGTAAGAATGAAACAGCCTTGTGAAAATGATTAAAGGAACCAGTGACTAAAACATTTAGCACAATGCCTGTCATATGTGAAAAATAAAGGTTAACCATTCTGATTCCAAAAGGAATTCAACACTGTTTTGAGCATTGACAGCATTCAATGAGGAGTGCAAATTATCGGACTCCCTTCCCCTGCACCTACTGAATCTAGGGGCGGGGTTTGAAAAGCTCTCCAAGTGGTCCTGATTCAGCTAACATTTGAGAACCACTGATCTAACACCGGTGTTCAAATTGGGCAGCACATTGGAGTCATCTGAGGACGTTTAAGACTGATGCCTTAGAGAAGCTGATTTAATTGGTCTGGACACCAGGGTTTATAAAGCATCTCCCTGGTGACTCTAATGTACAACTGAAGCTGAGAACCACTGGACCAGAAAAACAGGAAATTCATAATCACAAAGAACAGAGGATACCATTTTTTTTTTTTAGGTGGTCACACTTGCTTTGTGGACAAAGGCCTGTGGGCTCGGCTGTCCCTACACCCTGTATTCAGGCATGGAATCAGCCTTAGCAAGTGACCCAAGAGCCCAGTCTGGGCTAATGAACACAGTTGGAGAGTGCCAATCTGGGCAGTCTCTGGGCTACACCCCCTGTTCAAACAATCACATCGTTTCTAGCACACACTCTGGCTGCTAATTACATACCTTACAAAAGTGACAGCTTCTGCTGGTGTGAGTAATTAGGATATCTCTAATTCCGTTGGAGGATGCCTGCCACTCCCTACTTCCTACAAAGCAAATTGCTCATGATTACATATTTGACTGGGAAACTATTTTACAAATTATTCCTTGCTAAGGGCTTGAAACAAAGGACAAATGAATAGGAAATCGCAGTTAACAATACTATCCCCTGGCTCACAAAATGCTTAAACGTGGAAGGTGTATCTAAGGAAGTCAAATGGGGGCTATTTGATGAGGGAAAGGGTTCAGTAAGAAGTAGCTCCCAAATGGAGGTAAATGTCTAGAAAGGGATGAGGCATCCCAGTAAGTGGCACAGCGCCACAGGCGCTACTTCAGTGGGCATCACTTGGCACCAAGGCAAGTAGTTCCCGTCTGAGACCTGATCTTGGTAGCAAGGCCCAGACACTAAGCAAAGAATTGGGGGCAAAATTATTCTTAGAGGGGAACTGAGTTCTTGGATGGGGTCAAATGTTGAACCTTTGGATAAAGATGAATGCCAATTGAGGGTGGAGAAGAGGGGAAACAAACCGTTAATGGGCACCACCGGTGTTCCAGGCTCTTTGAGGGCCGCACAGGTCATGCAGGGTCACCCCAGACAGCACGGGGTCCCAGTCTGCAATCCTAAGTGAGAGAAATGGAATATTAATTTCAAATCTTTCTGTGGCGGGCAAGGATAACTTAGGTCCACACAGAGAAGGGGATTAGGGAAATGTACTCCTATAGTCCCGGTTTAACCAAATTGACACTACGTACAATGTTGGGAAGCCAAGGTGAGAGTGGGGCACTTTATTTGTTCTTAAGCAGGTAGAATGATAATAGCCTGATGTCATTTGGATTACATTGTGACATTGATATCATTATATCATGTTATATATAATGTTAACTGAAACCAAGTTTTTGTTAACTTGTCAATCAAGTATTGTTCTATTACAAACAACCCAAAACTTAAAACAGTAGTCGTTTGTTCTCTCTTGTTTCTAGGGATCAGCAGGGTGACTGGCTGATAGTAACAGTAGGCTGCAGCTCGTTCTGGCCCCATGCTGCCCTTCTTCCTCAGACCAGGAGACGTGCCAGGACAGCAGTACAAGAGCCATGTCTGCCAATTTTCCATTGGCCAAAACAAGTCATGTGGCCAAGCCCAAAGTCAAGGTGCAGAGAAATACAATTCTCCTATGGAGGTGGTGGGAAGGGGAAGGAGTGGCTAATTTTGGAAAGTAATCTAGGTGTCAGGCTGGGCATTTCGATCCAATACTTTTGACTCCAAATCTCATGTTCTTTCTTCTGTGGCAGTGTTGGAATAATTGAAAAACTTTCCAAGTGATAAAATGGAAGCAGTTTGAAACATTAAAATAAGTCAGCCACTCTCATGTTACTGGCTAGACCTCAGAGAGCAAGCCCATGGGACTAATTTTTTGCTACATTTGCATTGTGAGATGAGCAAGTCGTTGGGTGTGTTTTCCATATTCAAATTCAGAGCAATATAACTCTAGTAATAACAGATTAATATTTCCAAAGTCTGCCATAAATATCCACTTGAAGATAATTATTAGCCCTAATTACAGAGAAAAATGAGAGATAGGCTCATCTGATATCATTAAAAATGAGGTAATACTCATGGGAACCTTCACTACCCACCTTACTGACGTGTCTGTTTCCTGGTTGCTGGCACTTTGGGATGTTCATTTTGAATGTTTTTATGGCAACTAATTCCCTGATACATTTCAGCGGTACCCAATGGTTTGTTACCCAAACTGTTTCAAATCAGGTGAGCAGCTCTTGCTTCAAGTCTCAGATGACCCGTGTTGCCATATCTAAAACCTTGAACTTTGGACCTTCGACAAAGTCCACCAGATACAGGTTATATGTTTCCAGCCAAATGTGGCCTGCTCATGGCTTGTCCATCTACATGGCCAAGCACTCGACACACCAGGCTGGGTTAGAGGGGGAAAACTTGAGTGAAGTTAGTACTGAAGCAGGACTTTCTGCTTATAAAAGTGTTAAGATTGTTAGTAGTTAGCCCCAAAATGGATAAGTACTGTCATTCAATCAGTAAATATGCTCCAAGATATTTTTGTTTGTGAGAGTTGGGTCTAATCTCTGCAAAGGGGAATTAAACAGAATTATATTATGGAGACTCTTTAAGAATAGGATGGAAATGTTTTGCTCCTGTAAGTGACCCAAAGGCATGTGTTGATAATTAAGGCTTAGAAACTTGGTTCTCTTTGCCAAACTTAACCCTTTTTCACCATCACTTTTAAGGGAACTCCTTCATGGACATAACCAGGTGGAAGGACCATGACCATGGTGGCTCCTGTTTTCTTGCTTACACACATGTTCCTGCCCCATCTGTGAGCTCAGTGGGTCAAGGCCCTAGGCAAAGAGGCCAAGGACGTTACTGGTCACCTCTCCAGGCCTCATCTCAACTGTGGGTGTGAAGAAAGAATTCTGAAGGTGTCTCTCAGCTGTGTTCTGACTTCTAAGCAGGCAAGTGATTATTTCTATTCTCTGATGAAGTTGTCCTGATTTGCCTGGAGGAGCATCCTGGGCATGAGTGCTGTGCTCTGGGCTCAGGGAGGGGAAAGAGGAAGAGAAGGAGCAGAGAGCTGACAGGAGCCAGGCCCTGCTAGGGGAGCCAGAGCCCCACTGGACAGGAGTTTTGACAGCCCAAGACATACCAGCCACAGAGACCTCTCTGGGCCCAAATGTTCTCCTTCCCAAGGGGCAGCCTACTTAATGTGAACATCTGAGGGAGCTTCACTCCGAGGCCTGAGGCAAACACATCCCACTGGTTACCAGCCAAGGTGACATCTTAAGACCCACCTAACAGGGCTTTCACATTCTGGAGCTGCACTGTCCAACATGGTAGCCACTGACTATATGCGTGGAGTTTTTTTAAATTTACATTTCAATGAAGATGAAATAAAATTAAGAAGACAAATTTTTAATTTCAAGTACCCATGTACACATGTGGCTGTGGCTTGTGGCTACCATATTGGAGGTTCGAGTAAAGAACACTTTCATCATCACAGAGTGTTCTAGAATGCAGCACAGTGCTCAAACACTGAAGAAATATAAAATGCCTCTCCAGACTTCCTCTTCTTATATGACCTTTCTGTCTTGGCTTGCATTAGAATGGCCCAGCAATTTATTTTGGGAGGCTGAAAAAGCTGACCTGTTTGATATCAAAGGCCTGAGTTCACCTCTCAGCTCCCTGAGGTCAGGTTTACAATAGTCATTCTGTTTCTGTGTCCGTAAAATGAGGAGTTGTGGAGATCAGATGGGTAATAACATGAAATTATTTATAAGCTCTATGCACTGTACAGATTCTCACCAACCGATGTACCAAGAGGAAAAGGAGGGGAGATTGTCATTAGAGTTCTGTCCAAAATGGGGTGGGTTTTGGAATAATATTGGTGGCTTTTCAAAGGGGACTATAAAGGTAAAATAAGGATACTTTCTTTGAGGGAAAAAGCACCTACCTCCCATTTCCTGATCAGGGAGTCTTCGTGCAAACAAAATGGGCCTGAGAAGAGGCATAGCCTTTTGATTTTATAATGCAAGGTTAAGGGGT